ATAGTTATTACAAAACAAGTTGAATAAAAGTAGCGGAAGTCATTTGTTTAAAACCACACACACACTCACGGAGTTCAAATATAGTGCCGGTGAATGATCATCTCCAACAAAAGCATTAGGCGAGGCGTAAGGAATGACCATGCCCATGGTCCTAAGCATCACCATCGCAGGATACTGAGCGGTTGATACAATAACCATAGTACATACGCCCATACGCAACAAGTGGGAATAAAACCACGAGTACGAGAAGGTACTCGGCCGGACTACTTACCCAAACATAACCGAAAATAAATGACACCAAGGATTATGCGGGCATTATAGTAGGGTAGGTGACTCATTTTGCGAAAGAAGCATTTTTAGCATTTCAAGAACCTTTCTAAAAGCATTATTGTCAAGTTAATTATTATTAACTTTTGTCGACTAGATTTGCACCTATACTAGAGTAAACATGTGATTAAGCAATTAATGATAACCAGCGATCATTAAACAACTTCCATCTTGTCATATTCACTATAAGCTGTCCAAGTGTTCCATAAACATTTACTACGATGAAGTCACTCAAGTCAAGTGCTCACTATCCGGGAGCGATGGCGATTTGAATCGATTCCTAACCGGTGGTGATTTATTCTTACACAAATCTCACTCACCCGCTAAAGTGAGATATTGATCACCGAGTCAACTTTCCGGTATCTCGAGTTTGCGGGAACCACATGTACCCGGGGCCGACCGATCGCACTTTGGTCTTATCATCCCCGCCCGTGTCCTACCACACCACCTTGCTTGACAGACAAGGCTCATGGGCAATCTACTCGCCCGAAAAATCTCCCGGCCAGCGGTCGGAAGGTACTTTATCCGGCCAGCTAAATGTAAGGCATCGTTCAACATGACTCGAGGCCCAACAACGGTCGGTCCTTAATCGACCTGACGCGGAAACACTACGGTCAAAACCACGCAAGTCTCTCTTGGGTCTCAACTTCATTTAACACTTAGTTATACCATGACTTCATAGCCATCCAAGCAGATCCGGTAACCACCTATAGCTCAGAGGTGACGGAAATCACCCGACTTCTACCGGTCTAAGCCCGACTAAGCATTGACTTCATTGCGGATACCGGGGTAACAAGGATATAGTATAACAAAGGTAAACAAGGTATAATGCGACAGAACGGTTGCAAACAACTCCTGAGCGTAATGCATCAATTTAAAATAAAGCATTTAACGAAATCATTGCAAACCGGGAGAAAGATGCTAAGGGCTTGCTCTCTCGAAGGAGCTTCGAGGCGGTGATCGGGGCACTCAGGAAGTTCCTCAACGTCCTCCTCGTTGGCCGGCACTTCTCTTCTTTGCACCTCGAATCGCTCCTCGGGCTCCTCGGGAATGACGGCTGGGTTCTCGGTTTGCGATCTGTATGATGCAATGCGTGTAAGTGCCTATGCAATCGGTGCATCGAAGGAGATGAATGCAATGAATATGTTGAAAGGCAAGGTAGACAACATCATCCAAGAAACTAGGCTACAAGCACATGTCATCTCTGCATTCTCTTCTACTACTAATATGTTAAGTTAACCTATCTTGTGAAATGCTTCAAAGATACACCAAAGCTTTACTAATTTCTTAATCACACTTAAGGCAACACTTGCTTAAACCTTAATTAATAATAGGTTTGAATAGCAACCTATATTTCTGATGCTCCTAAAAATCTGAGAAAATTACAGTAGCATAATACTACCCTAAACAGACTACCATAAAAATTTCATGGCATTTGGATAAGTAAACTATCCTACACAAAATGACAAGTTATTGCATAAAAATGAGCATGAAATTACTTTGTACTATGAAAAGTGTCAAACAATAGAATTAATATTTTCCTGGGTTCTTCATAGCATATAATGACTGTACAAAAATTATCACATGCATATTTTATACAAAGTTTGCTCTCTAGCAAAAATAACAAAAATCAGCCATTTAAGGTACTTGAACTACACCTCTAAAGTTTTCCACAGCACATGCATGAAATATATTTTTCCTAGGAAGTACATGACATAAGAAGATTAACAAACTTGGAATCATATTTTTCTGAAGCCTAGATATTTTTCTACATATTTTTCAAGTTATCAGCAATATTCAAGATTAAATAAAATCCTATAGAAAAGTATATCAAAAATGACATGCACTATTTTTCCCAAGTAGATCTGGTGATAAGGAACCTAGCAAATTTTGTTTCAACAAATTTGGAGCAAGTTTGACCATCCAAACATTTTTCAAACCATTTTGATTTCAAATAACAAATAATAAATGGAAATCAATTCATTTCAGAAATCTTTGGGCCGGCCCGAAGAGAACAGCTGGCCCATGGCCATCACCGACTCACTGCTTGCCTTGAGAGGGGAAGACGGCCCAATCAGGGCGTCACCCACTTCGGCTTCGGCTTTGGTCGTCACCGAGGCACTGATGACATCTCGGGAAGAAGCCTTATTTGCTATGACGGCTGCTTTTTCGGCCAATGCCCGGCGGCAAATCTCCGGCCATGGCGGTATAAAAGCCCGGCTAATAATAGGTGTGCGAGAGCCATGGCGAAAGCAAGGTGACTGACTACGCACGCATTTGGGAAGGGAGGAAGAAGAGGGCGCTCACGGCGGCAGGCACTGCATGCGCCATGGCCATGGCCGCCGTGGCGCAGGCGGGAAAGCTTACCAGGGGGCTCGAAGGCGGCAAGCGCGAAGCGTGAGCAAAAGGAAGGCGGAGGCGCGGGTGTGGCGCGAGCAATCGGAAAATGATCTTGGCGGTGTGAGAGCTTGGCGTCGGTGAGCTTCAGCAGCGCGAGAGGTGAAGAAGGCGGGAGGAGTGAAGGCGAGCGCGCAGGCGGTGGTGGCTGGTGGCAGGCGCTCCTCTTCAAGCCCGCCAATATTGGCTGCGTGGTCGAGCTAGCCGGCGCGTGCGGACGGACCTGTGGCGTCGCCGACGAGGTCGGGACGGGCGCGTGTGACGGGCACAGGCCTGTGGAGAAGAAAGAAATGCATGTGTGTGGAGGTACGGGTCAAGGTTGTGTCCGGGTCACGAAGGAGGCGAGCAATGGCAATACAGGAGTCATGGGGCGGCATTGGGCTTGGCAAATTGGAGGCCGAAGCGCGGCGGCCCAGAAATAGAAAATGGAATTTTTCAATTGATTTTCAAGAAAATTTTAAATTGCCATCTTTCAAACATTATTTTGAGCAAGGAAATGACCTCTTTTGAAAATGTACCAAAATGAAAGTTGCTTAGAATTAAATTCCTACAACTTTGCTTTTATGACCAAAGTCCAATTCTATCTAGATTTTAGATTATAGAATCAAAGTTAAATTTTTAACTCAAAACCCTAATTTTGGGAAATCACTTTGGAAGCAAAATTTTGAATTAATTTGAATACAAACCTTGCTCCAAAAATTGTGATAAACAATTCTAGATGATTTTCAAGCATAACCAACAGTTTCTATTCAGCTAGCAAGCAAGAATCAGAGCAAAACAACTCTAATAAGTGTATGCATCATTTACTTTTCACAAACATGTTTCGTATGTTTCGAAGGAATGTTTCAGTTATTATATGCAAGATTATGCATGTATGATTAGGATGCTTGATGATGCATGATATGCATGATTTGCAGTGCCTAAATGTAGGCATAACACCGGGGTGTTACAGTTAGTTAAGGTGATCCAAACGCCCCATGAAGAAACTTATGGTAATTCAAGCGGCCATGTGGCATGCCAACAAAAGAACTTGCATTGCAACAACATCAGTCTCCATCTTGGCTCTATCCTAAAGGACCAAAGACTTTTGTTTCCTCCCACCTCTCTTCTTGACCTAACATCATTTAAAAAATGTCCCTCAAATGCCGATGTTGAAAGAATAGCTTTTTTTTGAAACTCAAGAATAGCTTTTTTATATATACATGATACATGACTTGCTATTACGAGTGAGTGAAAGAGACGATTTTTTAATAATGCAATCATGTACGAACCCAACAACCACGATGTTGAGTATATATATTTTATAACATGATGAAAATGTACTCCCAGATAAATTCTCCTCTGTACGACGCAAATACATCACAAGTTGATGTTGATTTTTATCCAAGTTTAGCTGAATATATAAATTGCTTACCTTCCATTCCATGCTTTTAGGGACAGCAATGGACAAACATCCTGATCTGGCCATGGCCCACTTGCTGGGTACACGGGCCACGGAGGTCACAAGCCCACCACCCGGTCACGAAAGCCCATCTACCCCTCGGCCCAGGAATGTGCTGGGGATCTGGGACGAGATCACGAGGAGAACATACCAACGACATCCTCAGGTTCCAGAACCGCTGACGTGGCGCTCCTCCTCCTCCTCCGGCGATTCGCTCCCTCCCTCCTCTCGCGGCCACGCCCTCCCCCCGCCCCCTCAAGGCCGCAATCTCTCACCGCCGGGAAGCACCCGACCTCCGTCCCTCCACGCCCGCCTCCATCCTCGACGAGGATCCCCGATGAGGTGAGGCCTGCTGCCCTACCGATCCCTTCTCGTGCACGAATGACGAATCCCATCTCGCTCCCCCGGGCCGGAAAACTCCGATGCAGCGGGATCCCATGGCCGCGCCGCTCGCGCGTTGGAGCCGGGAGTCGCCGAGAGAATGCGGACCCGCGGTGCCGCGTGCTTGCGACGGCGGTTCGGCGGCGACGGGATCCGTTTCTGGCTTGATTTCGTCGTGTCCGTGTCCGAGGTATCGGGGCGTCGGTCGGGATTACGATTTGCGTGGCTCCAGCTGAGCTATGATCCGGTGATCCTGAGCGGGGAAGTGGTTGGTTTCCTGTTTTTTTTATGGGATTCTGCTCCAATCGGAAGGGGGAACTGGGTGGGTGGTGTGGTGTCATCCGGTCGTGGAAATTGCTCGCGTGCGCTGAGGTCGTCGGTCCTGACCCACTTCTTCCTGGTCTTTTGCAGCTCGGAGACGTGTTGATTTGGATAGCTGTTCGTAGCGTGTGCAATGGTGGATTTTGTTCGACGGCTCGCCTCTGCCCTGCTCAAGTGCTGCGACCTTGACGTACCCAATCGGCCAAAGGGCCTTGAGGACCCCGAACGCCTGGCTAGAGAGACTGTTTGTATGCTCTTTTTACTGTCGCTTGCTTCTACGGAATCAGTCTATATGTTCAGACGCTTGTTTCGTGTCTGTTGCCGTTTATTCAGCAGTGGATTTCCTGTATCTTGCAGTTAATGTGAATGAAATCGAGGCTCTGTATGAGCTGTTCAAGAAGATTAGCAGCGCTGTGGTTGATGATGGCTTGATTAACAAGGTTTGTAGGTTCTAATTTCTTTGAGTGTGAAGTGGCAGTGAGTGTCAATTTTGTTTCCTTGAAGCTATTGTGTCTGATCTCTCCTTGGGGCTTTGTCGTTATCTGCAGGAAGAATTCCAATTAGCCCTGTTTAAGACCAACAGAAAGGATAGCATGTTTGCTGATCGGGTATGTCCACTGGATGCTTATATACATTTTGTCAGTGAAAATTTTGTTGTCATGAAAGCAAAGCTCACTGCTGAAAACTTCACAGTATTCAGTCTGTTCTTGCCCAATTATCGTGTTCTATTTGCTATTTGGGTCACATTATTTTTCTAGTTCTGTTTTATAAAAGGATCAACAGTACAATATTTGTTTTATGAACATTGACATTAATCACATTATGCCAAGCTGTCTAGAACAGTGGTAGGATGTCATAGACCCTGAGCCTTTTAAGCTTCAATCATATGCTGACACACATGTTTCTGTGGGCATGCGTTAAGCCTTTAAGACATGTCAATGTGTCTGCATGTGTAAACATCCACCTGCAATCATTGGAAGGGGGTGTGCTCAATGTGAATTCTCTGTCTCTTTGTTACAAATTCATTTGATTTTCAAAATATGCATATTGTTTTGGGTTGATCTGAAATAAACACTAAGGTATCATGTTTTTGATTCATTGACTTAGGTATTTGACTTGTTTGACACGAAGCACAATGGAATTCTTGAATTTGAGGAGTTTGCTCGAGCCCTTTCTGTGTTCCATCCAAGTGCACCAATTGATGACAAAATTGATTGTAAGCCTTCATGCTTAATTTATTCATTCATTTATTTATTCCTGAAAATGCTACATTAGTGACTGAGTATCCAGTTACGACTTTAATATGTGATAATAATTCAAGATAAGATGTTGAGTCATTACTGTTACTATAAATATCCATGAAAACACTTGTGGACATTATAGGCAGCTGGAACTGTAATGCATGTGATGCCCTTCAGCTTTACAAAAGAATGAACATTGTAAAAAATTGGAATAGACATTCATTCCTGATGTGGTACATGAGTTAAATGGACTAACACTTAACTCCTTTTTGTTGCGGCTAGAAATAGTTTATTTTGATTTCGTTACCTGCTAAGGCTCTGTAGGGAGGGAGCAGATAGAGTATATTAGTGCGAGGCCTGCAACCTGCATCTTTACCATGCACATACAAAATCTTTAGGTTTGAGAAGTTATCTATGATGAAGTATTTAGAATGAGTATGTAGTTAACCAATTCAGTTTATTCTACTTTGGGAAATTATGCATGTGTCACACTAATCATTCACTCTCATGATCTTGTTTCCTATCAACTTGCAGTTGCTTTCAAATTGTATGATCTCAAACAACAAGGTTTCATTGAAAAGCAGGAGGTACCTTCCACATGCTTATCCTTATCTTAATAAATCATTTGTTCCATGTATTAGTGCATATGATTGGTTTGCATGTTCCATGTTGCATCTATTTTTCCTACATATGCTACACTAGCTTGTATGTGAATACAATTATTCACCCTCTCAAGTCAGGTTCCAATTTAGCATATGATTTTATTGTCAGTGGAAATTTATTTCTCAAGTTGAATTGAACTTAGCTGATGATGTTGAACTTCTATGAGTCTAAACTGAAGCCCTCATACACAACCGTTTTTGAGGATTGTTCTTATATTTGCTTGCACGAAGTATATCCCATTTGACATTAAATGCAGCCATCAGCAATGAAAATGTTGTGTTTGTTCTTGATTGTCAGGTCAAGCAAATGGTGGTCGCAACACTTGCTGAATCAGGAATGAATCTTTCAGATGATATTATTGAAGGCATTATTGATAAGGTATATCAGAGTACATATATTTCTGTATATAGGGTATATATCTATCGAACCTATGCTTGGTTGCTCATACTTTTTGATGTTACTAGACATTTGAGGAAGCAGATACAAAGCACGATGGGAAAATTGACAAGGAGGAATGGCGTAGCCTTGTCTTGAGGCATCCATCTTTGTTAAAAAAATATGACCCTCCCATATCTCCGGTCAGTACTCTTGATGTGTTTTCCCTTTTCTTAACAATTCGAGTTTTCTTCCTGAACTTTACTTGGGTTCCTAACTTCCTATGTGAAGCTCACTAGCTCAGTATTGTAGACTCTACATTTGTTAACTGAACAGAACATACACCACCTGCTCCCTCCATTTCTCTGTATTTGTCCATGATCTTGGAATATGCTGTTTTAGTCAATTGTTCCTCAGTGGGTCAAAACTATTGTGTTTTATACTTTTGCTGTTTCCGGCTAGCTTTAATTCAAGTGCCCTTTGGTATACTCTGTGTAATGTCTGTTTAATGTTGTCTTAATCGTGATAATGAAGATATTAATAGCCTTGTTGTTTAGAGAAGAAAAAGGCCACCCTCTGTGGATTGGAAGTTTGTTGGAAAGAGCAGAAGTATCTTGTGGTTTGAGGACTATAATAACAGGAAAAACCACAATAAAATACCATCATTTCCACCCTTGGACAGATATGTTGAAACAGATAATTCTGAGGCATGGACAAGTATAGTGAATGATTCGACATGGAATATTGTCATGAAACCTTTGCTTGCCAGATCGCTTGTTCTTCTCCGTCAGATACTTATCTGGAGAAAGATGGGGGTATTCTGTGCTGATGGTGCAGATACTTCTTATCTGGAGAAAGATGGGGGTATTCTGTGCTGATGGTGCACTATCATGATTGCTAATTGAAACTTGGACCAAAAAAAAAAAAAACAGTTTAATCCTTTTTTTGGCTGTTTTTCCTGAATCTGTGTATGTTTGATGAAGTAACAGCATTTATTGAAATATTGTTCTTATCGTGGATTAATTTTTGAACAGGGATATCACCACAACATTTCCAAGCTTTGTGTTCAACTCTCAAGTAGAGGATGCGTGAGGTCCCAGCGTCTAAGGCACCATTCAAGCCCCTGGGGCACAGTAGTTCATGTTCTGTGGGGGTACTAGTGTGTTTTTGTTTCCTTGAAAATGTAAATTTTATGTGGCACGTCCTCCTTTTGTATAGTGAGTATTGCTGTTGTGCACAGAATTGCAGCCTGAAGCGTTTCTTGTCATGTGTTTATAAAACGTTCTTGAAACATATTGTTCATCGAAAGCTACTCAAAGTAAGATCTGAATTGAGTACAAAACTACTCAAAGTAAGAATTGAATTGAGTACAAATGATACCACAAAGTATGAGCATGGGTCATATAATTTATAAATGCAAAAAATAATGACAGAAGAAACTCTCTACTGTTCAGTTAGGAGGAAGGACAAAAAAATGGGGGAAATTTTTCTTGGCTCTTTAATATTAGGTATAGATTTAATTTTGTCTTTAAAACTGTGTGTCATGTTTACTTTTTTGTTTGTAATTTATATTCATGAGTTAGATTGTTAGAAGGTTATCTTTTCTAACATTCACAAACTGTGAGGTTACTTGTCATGTTATTTCACAAATTACAAAATTACTCACACATGCATTTACGAAGTACAAAATCACTTTTTCTATTAGCACAAATTGAATAAATCAACTTTTTTTTTTTAAAAAAAATAGCATGACCATATTTCTATTTTAGGTAAGGTTGTTTAAGCTAAAGAATCCATATTTCCTTTTTCTGAAAAATCGCGGAACATATATTGCCATTTATGGCAATTTGAGCTCTCTTTTAAGACTGAAGATAGAAAACCTTCTTCATTTAGCTTTTACCGATTTTTACTGGACTGTATTGCGTGTTCGTGCATTATTGTAACTAGTGGATATGGATAGTCACAACCGTCCCATCAAATTATCTATCTGTTTGAAAGATTAATAGTTAGTTCAAACCAAAATTAGTTAGCTAAAGTTTAGCTAACCCCAAACTAGTTCTGATATGTTTGGATCTTCAATTAAAAGTTTTATGGACATCTATTAGTCCTATAAATTGGGTTTGCCTACCTAAGATAAACTCCAAGAGCCTCTTTATATCATTTTGCATTGATAGAAATATAAGTTTTATAGCCACCTCCAACCAAGACAAATGGCCTAAACCACAGAGGCTCACAACTTGTTACCATACTCCTGGTCACCATGGGGTCGTCTTCAATATGGAGTTTGCCCACCAAGGAATGGGTTTCCTTATGCCCCACACACCAAGTCTTCACCGCTCCACAGACTTGGACGGTTGTTGAGTCACCGAATAAGAACCTAGTGCTCCAGCATCACCAGGGTTACAAGGTCATGCAACCCATCTCACTCTAGCTCTTAAGCTAAAGTTTAAGCACTTGCTAATCTAGCCTTAAGCAAGATTACAAGATTTGGATGCAAAAACCAAACTCTCATATGGGATTGGACTATATATAGCAATGTGTAGCAATGTCCCTTAGCTTCACTGGTCTCTAGCTAACTCACTCCAAATAGCCAGCCAAGGGAATATATATATAGCCCCCCAAAAGCTAAAACAAAAGCTACAAATGCAGTCGTCACCGGATGATCCGGTGACTCCCAAACCCTTCACCTTTTCATCTAGCAGGGTATCCGACAATTGCCAACGAGTACTTGAGTATTCAGATAACACTGGACTCAGAGCACTAGACAATCTGTTATACATCTTCTTCTGTCCAATGAACGATCCTATGAGTTTGTTCAACATAAAAAAACTCAGACCTATACCATAGTAATGAGTTGCACCGAATTGAATGATCCGTTGTGGACTCCAAATCACCGACAGACGATCTACTGACATCTGAGGTTCTGCATGATACGGTAGGTACTTCCTCACCTCAGTGGATCATCCGATGGCCTATCTTCACTACCATAGGACTGTGTGCCACTTTATGACCCGACGCCTTTGATCAAGTGCTACAGTGAATGATTTGACATGGAATCTTCAATGAATCTTCTCCGCTTCAACTTGGATCTTGATCAAACTTTATCCTTGCATCATAGACCTAAATGGATATGTCTAACACATCTTAACACATTTTAATTCTAGTGATTGAGATGTCATCAAGATGACCAAAATCACTATATGAATATGTTAAAGGGCCCATATTCGCTACACCCTAGAAATTCTAGATGTTTACAATTGATGGCACAATGACAATATCGAACACCATCTTTGGTAGTCTATTTTGACCGGACCTGAACGTTGTTTGTATAGTAGTGTGTAAACATGAGCCCCCATTTGGTAGAGCACTAGCTAACTCCTAGCTCCAAGTTATATGTGGATTTTGTAATTAAACAAAGTTTTTTTTGTTTTAAAATGTGACTAGGCACGTATTTTATTAAGAGAAAGAGAGTTACAACAACGCAAATTTGAGAGGATCTCGGAGCATAGAGTTGCAACTTACCACAAAGACAAACCCAAACAACAAGAAGAAAGAAAGAAACCCCCGTAATGCACAACCAACCATTAAACAACCAAAAACAATTGAAGATACAATTTTGTAGAGTTGTTTGAAATCTCCTCCTCTTCAAACATATATGTAACTCCCCCACACCAAACATATATGTAACTAATAGTTATCCACAAGGAGGAATGTAGTATTGACTTCAAAAGAAGCTTGTATAGATCGGAGGTATGTCAGTGGGAGGAACTATAGGACGACACCATCCTCAATTGACCTGATCATTCCAGAGTCTCCTGACATGGTGTTATGAGACTTGGAGAGGTCCCCGAGTCTTACCACCAAGCCTTTATACAGACTAGTATATTGCCCGTGCTAACACTACGGTGACATCTAGAAAATAAATAAATCATAAAACTACATTTAGATAGCAAGTCAGATATGCAGCTCCATGTTGCTTCTGAATACTGGCATAATAGTAATATAACTATGGTACTAATACTTCCAAAAGAAAACTATTGCCTAGAGTAGGAATCTGTAAAGACTTGAAAGCAACCAGCAAACACTAATTCCTTCAGATTCGAACCATGTACAGGAATGAGCCCCTTCACAAACTTGTCACACACACATTATATTCCAGACATTGACAAAACCTCTAGATGATTATTCTTTTGTAGAGCGGAAGAATCAAAGCATAGCATCCACGTTTGTGCGATCATCTATATACAAGTTCTCTAAGAACTAAATGTCGATTCAGATGAAGTGAGAAGAGAACACTGCATACTGATTTAGGGAACAACCTGATAGCTCTCAACTTGCAAATTTAGGGGGCCAGACTGATAGCTCTCTCTTTTTCTTTGTTTGTTTTGATGTGACTCCATAGAAAGCGAAGCGATCCCTGAGTTGTCTGAATCTCTTTGGAATCCACAGGGATCATAATCTGGCTCGTCCTCACTTGAGCTCGAGAGATGATAAACTATCTTACGCAACCATCTTGACCCTAAACATTTTGTATAACAATGGCTAACTAAGTTGATTCGAGACATAATAACCTCATTTGATTCAACAAAGGAACCCCTGAAGCTATTATCGGTTTTCACTCGAGATAGTGAAAGAGCAACACCAGTGTTCCTTAATAAGGAGCCCACCCATTCAAAATTTTCGCCATCAAACAAAAACTCTGGAGTCACTAATGCATTCAGGGTCTATTTTTATCAAGCGAGTTATTCTCAAATTCTCATACCCAAGCACTAATTTGGAGCAAGGGGAAAGAAAATACCTCACTATAGTTTGACACTGCATGCAACAAGAAAAGGTAGTATCATCGCCACTGGAATATGAACCGGACAATATTGAGAAAATAACAGCAGTGAGCTTTTGTTCTTGTATAAAAAATGAAATTACAAATGTAAAATGGGTTATAAAATAAAATGCAAACTATATCATATAAATATAATTTAGCCCCTTCTTTTTGGAAAGGGCATAGCAAGTTATTTTCATGTGCATCCCTAAAATATTGTTAGCAAAAAAAAATCATACTATGCTCGAGTTATTACCTTGCGGCTGAAATCTCAAGCCAAACAGTTAAGCATGAGAGAGGAGTTACATCTGGAAACCATGAAGCAATCATGGCAAGCAAATACCACTGTATTTATTTTGCTTTAATCAGGAGTGCCTCCCTAGTTTTTTTTTGCTTTTCACAGGCTCCAAGAATGCAGAAAAGTTCCATGGAATTATTGCCATCAACAGTAGCAAAAGATGAATCGCTGCTTCCTGGAGGTATATTACCAGATGCTTTCCTTCGAAGTGACATCATATTTTTCATAGTAGTCAGTATGTGAGTCCTCAATCTTGAATCCCTGATCTCTTTGGCTGCCTGAACAGTGAACACAACAACGACAGGAATAAATTAGTTCATGGTATTCGCAACAAGTTATCATCAGAAACCCTAAAATACAAAGCTTAAAAAATTACCACTTCATAACAACTTCAATAGGAGATCCAGCTATCTGAGCTTCTGTTAAAAAACTAACATGCCAAAAGGCACAATTACAATCAGTGTGTGGACTTATCTAAATAACAAAAAACCTAAATAACATACCATATGAAATTATGAACGAACAGACAAACTAAACTGTTATGGATTATATATCACTATATCAGTAGCTGTAATCAGTAACACACCGATAGAAATTATTAGCATCACATATCTACAAGACAAAATTACCAGCAATTTTGATATTGCTAAATTGAGCGGAAGGTGCATAGCAACATTACCTACTTGCCTCTGCCAGGAGATTTACCAAGCTCTCCAATTGCTTCTGCTGGATTCGCAAGTCCAGGTACCAATGCAGACACA